CTCTCAGTCCAGAATTCTTGCCGTCCCTTACTATGCCCCCCTCGCCATACCTTTTCCAAATAGAGCAATGCATGAATCGATAAATCCCTTCCCTTCCTTTGGGGATACCCTCCATCATCCATCTGCAACCAACGTGGCCATCAGTGCTCTTTCCCTGACCTCAGCCTTGAGAAATGACCCTGCCAAGGAGTGGAGATCCTGAGCACACTGACTGCACACACTGAATAGCTGCAGGAGTGGTCAATCAATCAATCAATCAATCAAAAAGAGAATAGCATTTCCTTCTCTGAAACTACTGAAAAATAGAACACATCTTTACCTGTTCATCTGGAGAGATCAGTACTGAGGACAAGAAGACAGACAGAATAGGCAGGTAAACTGAGTTATCTTCTAGTCTTCTTCCAATGACCAATAAATAACAAATTAATAAACAAATGCCATCATCACGTTAACAATATCTAAATGACCTTGGCCACATATGTTAACATTGTTTAAGGGTAAAGGCATTAAATGCAAATTTGATTTTAGTGAAGGAATTGAATGGAAAATTATTACATCAAGTTCTAAAAGTAATAACACAATGATTTCCTGACAAATAAAAGGTCATTTTTTTCTAGTTATCCATTAAATAAAAAACTATTTAGTACCAACCAGTTATTAGCCCCAGCCCTAAGGAGCTGGAGACAGAGCAGTGACACAATAAAACCCCTGTCCTATGTCCTTATGGCTTATTTTCTAGTTGAAAGGATCACACACACACACACACACACACACACACACACACCCCTAAGGAGCAGTGACACAATAAAACCTAGAACACACACACACACACACACACACATCCCGGCGGCGCTCAGCACTGTAAGTGAACATACAGCAGGACTGGGGGCCTCATCCATGCTGACAGTAAGTAAGAGCAAGCAGGAAAGGTGCCTTTTTCCCCTAGCGAGGGTCACCGATAAGGGCATTTGAGTCCAGCACAGAAGGAGATGACGGCCTAAGTCCTGTGGTATCTGGTGGAGAGCACTCAGAGAGAGAACTGGGCACAAGGCCCAGCAGCACATCGACCCTGTGGGTGTATTTAATAACGAGCAAGGAAATCAGTGTGCTTGTAGTTGAGTGAGCCAGGGAGCAAGGAGTGGGAGATGAGTTTTAGAGAAATGGTGGTGAGTTGGGGTGGGGGAGCCGGCAGCTTGGAAGTCCCAGTAGACCAGTGCTCTCACTAAGACAGGAAACTGCTGGAGGGTTTTCAATATTGTTTAAAAGATCACACTGTAAAGGGGGAGGGGCTGAACCACAGAGACCAGTTAGAGTTACTACAAGTAACTTGGTAGAGATGAGGGTAACTTTGGGCAGGGTTGGGTGGTAGAGGTGGTTAATAGTTGTTGGATTCTGGATACATTTTGAAGAAGGAGTTGAAAGGTTTTCGTGGTGGACTGGAGGCAAAGGACATCGAGGATGACTTCTGGTATAGCAGCTGGAAGGACGGGAAGCCTGCTTCTTAGAAGTAAGGGGTAAATCAGGAGTTTGGGGCACATCAAACTTGAGATGCCTCTGACACGCGAGTGGACAGTGGGCAGGCAGACGCACCTACAAGTCTGGAGTGAATAATGGAATCATCAGCAGAGAGACAGCATTTAAAGCCCGAAGACCAGATGAGATCACGTGGGGAAGTGGGGGTGGGGGGGTCTCGACAAAAGAAAAGAAATAAGGAACCACAGCCCTGGGCACTGCACGTAGAGGCTGGGAGATGAGGAGCCCACAAAGACTGAAAGAGAATAAACAGCTAGTATAGTCCAGGCTAGTATTAGACTAGAAACCAGTATATTCTCCAGACATGCGGTACCATATTTCAGGCTTCTGGGCTTTCCACCCTAAAAAAGTAGACATTTGGAGAAATACCAAGCAAGACCCCATTTCTACCATCAATTTAGTGGAGAGAAACTTCTTTTCAACCCAACCTTAGGATAGTAATCAAGAAAACACGAATAAATATAGCAAATTATCATCCAACATAGGGGCCAACAATTTAAATTTCTACAATATTAGGTATAGCTAAGGATGTGCAGAAATAGAAGCTGTTCTATAGAACAATTTGAAATTATGAAGTAAAATTAATTTTCTGGGTATCTACAGAAAGGTGGTACTACTTATACAAATTTAAATTATAAACATAAACAAAAGCAACATAGTATTCATCGGTATATATACGTGTTACATTGAATGAAACGAGATGAAGCCAAGAGCCGCTGAACACAGTGAGGGCCCGCCTCTGCACAGGGCGGTGACTGGCAATGGTGACCTAACACGTAATGCCTTACTTAGCTTGTTTTTTTTCCCAAAAACATACTGAATTCGTAAAAAAGACTTGAAGCAAATGCAAGAAAATATTTATAATCACAAACGCTGGAATGAATACATGAATGCATGCAGTAAACTCTCTGTAATCTTTTTGTATTTAAAAGAATCTCAATGCATTTTTTAAAGTACAAAAAAGAACAATAAACAGAAAAGAAGACCATTTGTTTAAAACAAAAAGCTACATTAAAGTTACATTTATACCTAAATTCCAAGCCTATAATAAAACAAAATTAGAGGAATACATTTTGTTGACATATTCATAAAGAATTATTAGGTCTCTAGTATGACCCAGCAATTGGCAAAACCCATCAAAATGCTTCATCGTACTATTCAATAAAAATAGGAATGATAATTCTGAGTACTCTACCCAGAAATACAGTAAAAAATTAAACTGAGAGGAAAACAGGTAAAACTAACTAGTTTTATCAGAAGATCTCATCTGAATAGGGAATTAGGCTATCAGCTCTGAGTTGTAATCTAAGACCTGCTTCAAATCCTTCTGGAATAAGATGAGAAATACAAATGTGAATGGACAGATGTAACATCTATCAGTCAGTCAGCCAATCTAAACAATACATGGTAATTAATCAAAACTACTTTTAATTTTCCTATCTAAACTCAGGATATAAACACTACTTTCCCTTAACAATTTAATGTATTCTATCGACATTTTATTTAATTTTTATAAGACTTTATCTCCTAAAGAAGTAAAACACAGTTTTTATCATAATAAATGTACATTTACACATTTCTCAGATATTAGTACTTTATAAGGTAACCTCCACTTTGTGCCTTTTCTAAGTAATAAATATACTTCCTGAAACTGCTACTCGTTTTTCCTAGCTTTTTATTTCTGAGTTGCTCTACATAACAGCAATAAAGCAAATAAATAATAAGCAGGGATTTTTTCACTGAGTTATGATAATTAATTTACTACATGATTACTAAGAGCAGAAAAGAAATCAAATAAACCGTTAAGTGAATTATAGACAATTAATTCTATTAAATGTGCTGTGTGTCTTTAAACAAAGACTCAGAATTCAATTCCTAGCAATTCAAAATCAGCTTTTACTAAGTATGTTCCTAGGACAAAAATTTATATGTATGTTAATGTGATATGTCCCTTTAAATCCTGATATTACCATCCCCAATATGTATCAATGCATCTGTTAAGACAGTAAAAAGCTCCTTATTGTCCTAAATTTGTACGATTACCTTTTCTTTCTATTATATCAGTTTATTCCCCCAAAAGAATTAGAGGCAGTCCTTCCCTTATGCTTAATACTGAATCATATCAACTGTATCACTTATGATGTGAGTCACTCCTTCTGCATATTTAGAAATCAATTCAGCTGATTCATTTAGTGTGTTACTGGTTGTCAGGTGGAATTAAAAACATCTGAGTTTTTACCTAATTTTCAATGATGTTCTCATCATTTTCTCTTTGGAAATATGCTCTGTATTGAACTAATGCACATTAACTAAAACATAGCAAGTGAGTAAAGGTTTGATGTAGGGTATTTTTCAAAAAAGTGTTTTTTTGGGAAACTGATCTTGATTGATAAATTCTTATTTAAAAATAAGTGGGTTAAAAAACAGTCTTAAAAGGGTAATTCTATTCTCTGATTAGTCAGAACAGATGAACAGGTTTATTTTCCCTCAACTTAGAGATAAATACTTCTATTTGTTGAATTAACATTGTTAAGAAAACAACCAGTTAACTTTTTCAAAATAACAAACATTTTGGGGAAGCGAACAAGCATTTTATTCCACAAGTATTTCAGGAGCAGCTGCTACGTGCAAGGTACTGCGCTAGGGGCCATGGGTGCAGCAAATATCAGAGTCATCATTTCTGCTCATGATATGCTTAAGAATCTCAGTGAGGAGGTCTGGCAAGCAAATAATCAAAACTTAAGGCAGAGAGGGATTCAGTACTTCCAGAGAGCAAACTCTAAAACACTATAGAGTTGAGAGAATAGAAAAAATCGCTTTCCACAAGTGGTGTTGGAAGGGAAAATCAGAGAAGGCTTCGTGACAACAGTGGATTTGAGGTAGCTCTTGAAGGAAAGTAAGATTTCAACCCATGCAGACTAGGAGCCACGACTGGGTGGGGACTGAGAGCGGGGTTCTAGGGAGGATCGTATGAGGTCGGAGCCAAGACCAACGTCATAATTTCAAGCATAAGGGCAGGTGAAAGAAAAGAAATGAGATCGTATGTGGTCGGAGCCAAGGCCAACGTAAGCAGGAATTTCAAGCATAAGGGCAGGTGAAAGAAAAGAAATGAGAAATAAGAGAAAAGAAGTAGGTAGGCACCAGATTATAAGGGATTTTGACAGTTGAAGGCCAAGTGGTTCACACTTTCTTTGGTCGGCAAATGGAAGTCAGTGGAAGACTTGGAGCAGAGAAATAGTATGGCCAGACACATGCTTCAGGAAGATCAGCCTGACATCAGTGGGGATGGACAGGAGGGAAGACAAATTAAAGATGGCAAACTGGTTAGGAGTCTATTGCACAGTGTAAATAAGAGGCAATGAAAATAAGAACTAAGCAGTATCAGTGGGAATGGAAAGAAGAGGATGGATGCAAAAAAATAGTACATTGCAATCAGCATTTATGAAAAATATGGAATAAAGCCTTACCTGATTCTTCTGTATCTTGTTCATCTATTAAACCTACTGAGACGCCTAAATCCACACATTTCTTGCTATGTGTCTTGGACTTCATGTGTTTTGTCAGATTTCCTTAAGGGAAAAGAATGTTTACTAAGCTTAAATATATTATTTTGCTGTTGCATTTGTCAACTCTGGCAAATCCCATTCCTATTTCAAGTGAAAGTACAGATCGTGGTTATACAATTCCAATGACTAAGATTTGGACAGAAGAAAATACTGGTGTCTATATATTATAATCACCTTGTTCTTTATACTAGTAATAATTTCTTTTTCAAATTTCCTCCTTTACGTTAATAATATATACTTTCGCCTTATGGTCTGTATTCTCTAGTCCTTATTTATTTATTTCTTAGAACGTTTCACACCTATTTAATTTAAGTCCCTTTCAGATTGAACTATGAGCTATAGCTCCTGGCATCCAAATTCTCCACCAGTTGTGTTTGCTGGCTCTCTTCTCATAGTACTTTGCTTCTTTGCCTGCTTTTTAGTAGGTTTTGCAAGCGTATCTTCAGCAAGATTGTTTTCCCGGGTGTACTAAGTACCCTTGCTTGTATGAACATCTCTATGGTTTTTCAAATGTTTCTGTCCAGGACTTAAGTTTCACATGGACCAGGTTTTGTTTTGTCTTGTTTTGTTTAACATGGCACAGGTAACATGTGTTGCTTTTTAGCAGGCTTTTCCCCAATGGTCCAGAGCCACTGGACAGGACAGCCAGGTTTACTTCAGAAGCCTTAGACTCCATCTCAGGACTAGCATGAAAACCCGAGGCTTGCAGACATACAGCTGGCTTTGCTGCTCCTAAAGGCTTTTTTAGAAAGTGTCCACCATGCTACAGGAGTTTCCTTTTTATTTCTGGTTCCTGGGAATTTGCCTTTTTAAGTTTCGAGCTTTTCTCTCTATTAAAAACCATATTTGGTTGTGTTCTATTATAAACAGTATTTCTGTGTGTTTGGAAGAAAGAATTTTGTACATGGATTTCACTTCACCATATGGACTAGATGTTCCATAAAGGTATCTCTAAAGGTGTGTTTCCTCTGGCAGCTGGTATATCGACCTAAGTGTTACCAGGTCAACTGGGAACCACTGGGCACGCTTGTCCCAAGTGGTCGTGATATAGGGGGAGAGCTCGCATTGCTCTGATGACACCAAGCAGCTTGAGTAGATGATGCCACACACAGAAATACTTGCCAACAAGGGAAAATCATCTCTTTTGAGAAAATAAACGAAATCTAAATATTGAGTTTGGTGAGCAGGGCAAATTAGTATTTAAGAATAAGCCTTGAGAAGAACAAAAAAACGCCTAAATCATTGGCCCAGGTTTTGGGCTTGCAGTAGCTGAAGGACCTGCCCAACTGCTGTATTTATAGAACCTTGATTCCCCTCAAAATGCACTAAGCCCATGGAACGGATCACACTTGCTCAAGACAAAGCTTGCACTAGACAGCATGCACAGCACCCCAGAGCTTGGTGCTTAAGGGATTCAAATGCAAGAAGGTACCCAGACCACAGAATATCTAAGTTCTGTAAAACCTTGCCTTTGTGCTGCTAGAGATACACCTGGCTTAAATAGCTTGGCCATGTCTCACATTTACTTTAAGTAGACTTAAGAACTATGAAGCAAATATGGCAAAATGTTAACAATTATTAAAGATGATGGGTTTACTGGTGCTCATTATAGAAATCTCTACTTTTCTGTATGCTTCACAAAATTTCACATTAAAGAGTTGTAACAATGGTTTGGCTATGTTAATGTGGCTGGAATTTCCCATTATTAGTCAAAACGCTTTCTAGTATAACAATATACAAACCAAATTACAAGGTCTACTAAATAGTTCTCTTTCAAAACGCTTTTGTTCCCTAAATAGACAACCATAGAAGGTTATCTGCATTCTAAGTAGTTAATGTATCATTGTAACTACGCAAATTTGGGACTGTAAGTTTTTAATAAGCGTATTTTCTCATAACTTGAGCTATTAGTTATTATTAACCAACTTCTTACATAATTTAAAATAAAACAACTTGCATTCTAATATGTATATTAAAATGCAAATATCCCTAGCAATGCTATAAAATGTATGCATTGATTTAATAAACATTAATATAAATCCTCTGGAAAGCATGCGAGATTTTGTTTCTGGGTTTCTATAGCTACATATAGAGCCAAGCTTTCTGTGATATAAATGGCCCTACATCTTGCAGAGATGCAAGCTCAGTGTATATTTTCTGCTGACTGACCTTTAAAGTGGCATAGTGAAAACAAATCAATTAAAATTATTTTGAAAATGTACTCATAAAATAAACTAAGAGGACAAATGATGAAGTATAGATTTATAAGCATTACCATCAGAAGCATCAATTTCTGGCACCAGCCTTGATAGTATTTTGCTTTCTTTGCATACCCTTATTTATGTAACATGCCATTACATCACTGCTGTTTTCTGCTAATAACTAGACACATTCAAGGAGAGGTGAATCGACTAGGACAAGTAAATCGGAGTAGGGCAAAATCTACAGCCTCATCTAAAACAAGTCTATTATTATTTAGCTACTTTTAAAAGGTATTAGAGAATCTGTTTTACATATATTCATTCATGAAAGGGAGACATCTACAAGGAAGCTGACCACAAAGAAAGAGAACTGTTGTCTCTAGAGAAGGGGAAACACTGAATTTCTAATACTTTTTTTTCCACCAGTCTCCTTACTAGGGTAGTTTTCTTCAAATAAATATTTATCACATAATTACAATAAATTATCTGACAAAACAAAAAATTAATGTAAATTCAGATGTGAAGCATATTACAGAAATGAAAGACATAAAAACTGCTGATATATACTGCTCACTCTTTGGGGGTTGTTATGCTCTGTACACCATTCAGTAAATGTTTATATAAAATTTTATATGATGCTGTTTTGAATTATTTCACTAAGATTAATACTTGAAGATTCATAGTATTTTCCTTTGCTAAGAATCCCTGTAGTTTCATATGGTTTTTCCACATCTATGCTTTCCTTCCTTCTTTGTCTGTACTTTACGAATATAGTTTTTTAAATATCCTGATTCCTTTCCTCTTTCTATTGAGAAATATCTGTTTCACATTATACCTTGATTCCCTTTTATTTGGTAACATCATTCCATACTTGGTAATCTTTTAATAGTAATATTGGCCTATTACTGGTCTCTTGATCTCATACTGGAAATTAATAGATGTTAATCATAGGATCAAAACCAATGAAAAAGCAATAAATTAGGTGAAAGGATCAAAGTGCTTTAGCCTATCATAGCCTTCACACAAGACTAGGAAAATCATCCTGTAATTCACCCTCCATTTCCAGAAGTTTTTATATTACAAAGGACTACAGAATTAGTTTCCTGAAACTTTCTAGAAATATTTAAGACTATCTGAAGAACACTTTTCCCCTCCTTCATTAGAGTTTCAGGCTTTTAAGGAGAGCTAATTTGAAGATCTTTAGTTGCTACCTATTAGATAACTCTTTAAATGACAATAAATACTAGGCTAAAAACATACTTTTGTTAAAGAACTGATCAATTTTTTAAACCAAAAACTGTGAAGACAGCCAATATAATTAGAAAAAAGAAAATGTTAGCTCAAAAGGAATAAAAGCAGTTTTTGCAAAAAAAATGATTAAATATTTTTATACTTATTGTGCTTTCAGACAGAAAATTATATGACTTTTTTGCTTTAAAGAGAGTCTTATTTTTTAAAGTGTGGCATTTGAAATTAAAATCCCAGGTAACAATTTTTAAGTAATGAATCATGAACCAAGAGCCTAATGGAGAAAGCAAACATTTTATGGTACTGTATTCATTATATATATAGGAAACTTGTAGAGGGTAAAATTTCCTTAAGTATAATAATGGTTTATAATTTAAATAAAAACATATAAAGAATACACAAAGGGTACTAAATATAACTTTAATGACTAGTTCTGAGTTCTGTAAACATTAAATAAATACAAAGGTCAAAAAATTTTTGAAGCTAAAATTCAGCAGAATTTGGGTTTAAGTAAAGCATCTTGAAAAAAAAGAAATGGTTATGCATGCCTAAAATTAGACATCAGACCATTAATATAATCATTATACATTTACTGTAGTTATTATTTTAAATTTTTCCAATCTTTTAACACCAAAATGATTTACTTGTGATCAAGACAATTCCTTTTTCTTCAGCCCCAAAGTTAAGTATTTTGAAAATGTGTTAGTCATCATGTTATGTAACTATAATTTGGGGAGTAAAATAAAAAAAGGGCAATTGCTTCTTTTAAAATGTTATAGCATATATGTAATTAAAATTTTTTTCCAAGAGGTCTAGAAACATATAAAGAAATAAGACTGCAATGTTTATAAGATGTAATTTATATTAGTCTACTTAAGCTACTGCATCCTTGGTCAAAGAATATATAAAGCTGGGTCTAAGCTCTAAATGCATATAAAAAGGACCATGAAGCAATGTCATCTCATACCTTTAGTCTTAAAGGAGAAGTTACAGTAAGTGCAGTGGTAAGGGCGGACATCTGTATGGGTTCGTATGTGTTTCTTTAACATACTAGGTTTCTTACAACGTATTCCACATTCTTCACAAATGTACTTTCCTCTTCCCCTGCCTCGGACATACACATACTCTTCATTTGATTTATATCTAATTTAAAGAAAAAAAAATGAATAGGGCAATTGGATACTATGTCTTTGAGAAAATACTGATGGTTAAAATTCAACCTAAAAAATAAAACAAGGCACAATTTTTATACTGAATCAATATAAATTTTATGCACATATAAGAAACAGAATATTCCAGCTTTTCACATCAACACTAAATATTCTAATAGCTAATTCTATTCTAACAACTTATTCAATGCTGGGTTTAATTTTAAAATAGTTATTCCCTCTTTCTAAGTTACTGGTTTAAAAGTTATTTTTATTGCTAAATTCAGTTGCAACTATAAGTACTGAAATATTTCTGAGCTTCACTATAACTACAATTAGCTTTTATAATGTGTTTTCTCATAACCAACTACACAAGGACATAAAATAGGCAATGAATTCATCTTTCTCAGAGCAGATTTCCCAAGTCACTCCTTTTTTTTTGTAAATCAATGTGAAACCCAGGTTCACTCTGAAACTTAGTTCTTAGCTGCCTCCTAGGACCTACTGTTTCCTAAATAGTTAGTACTTTCTTGATCAAAATGGAATTAACATAATACCTGACATATATTTTGCCATGAAGATTCTGTTAATAAGCTGAGAAACTTTGCAACATTTATATAAAATTGGCACTGATAAGTTTTCATTCATATGAAAGCAAATGTACATTTAAAAAGTAAGTTTAAATGTACATTTAAAAAGTAAAATTTGTACTTGCCCTCCATCAAATATTTTAATTCTTCTTGGTTCACTTTTGATTAAGGAATTTTCTTTATCTTGCTCACTGTTAATTTCAGAGGCATCTTTATTGCTGAATTCAACTACTGTGGACTTTTGATTACCTAATGCTCTCTGAAAGGAAAAAAAAGAGAAACTAATTTAATAAAACTGAAAATACAAACATGCTAATGTTTCACTTGGAAATCAAAACACACCAGAATACAGTGCATATAGTTAATGGAATGAATTTCAAGGCAATAACAGGTTTAGAGGTTATTTGCTTTATCTCCTCCCTTATCTTTAATGTATCTGCCTAACCCATAGCAAACTGTTATCTTAAAATCCCACCAGCCCACCGACATCCCCAAATAAAGGCTTTAAAACCTCCCACCCTGGCATTCCATGAGTTTAACAGGAACTTAAAAAAAAATAAACTAAATATTCTTTCTTACATCTAACAAACCACTCATACTACACTTAAGTTTATTTCTTAAAGAGTCCATTCTTTGGAGATGGAAAAGAGCTGCACCCCTTTTGGAATAATAATGTCTCATACTCATGAGAAAAATAACTACATTCCCTTCAACTTCAACGCACTGTAAAGTTAAGGCAGAAGCCTCATTTCTGACTATTTTATTATCCCTTCTCCCATTATTTCAAACCATAATGGATTCCCCTCTGTATCTTCTCAAAAGTTCCTGAATACTGATGACAGACAGTCCAGGTCAAAAGTTAGGTTTCGACCTGATAATAATTAAATCTCTAGGAAAGGTGATGAACATTAAAATGGTAAACAGTGGATGTTTTCCCTACAGAAGCATTGGCGTAACACCACCTTATGACTTTATACAAGTGCAGCACTCCCAGCAGGATTCCCACGCCTCTGACCAGACCATTTGCACATACTGAGGAGGCAGCGCAGGGAGGGTCTCCCAGTGAGGAAGGACCCTCTCAGGCCCAGTCACTTGCCCAAGGTCAAGTGTCAACCACAGCAAGGGCTCAAACTATAGTCGTCCAGCTGAATCCAACAGAAGACGCAAGTTTTCAAACAAGGGCGTCTTTCTTACAAACCTCCAGTAAAAATTACATCACCACACAGACAGCTATCACACGGAGATGACTTAATAATAGTGAGAAGAGGGTGTGTGTGTTATGGATGGAGGGCCAGTGTGGCCTCAGAGTACCCTGTCCTTACAAAGCCAGGAGCAAAGAAAAGCTGCTGGTAGTATGAAGAAGTACCTGACAGGTAAAAATGCAACTGTCTCCTCCTTTCCTGGCAAACACATCAGTTTCCCCACCATTTGGAAAATGTTCACCTACCTTCCTTTGACTTTATTCTTATAACAGTAATTCTATTTCTTTCCTTCTTTTCAGTACCAAATCCACATGAATCTTTTGCTCAGCTTCTTCCTATCAGAGCTGGCTCCTGTTCACCAGTGACTGATAACCTAAACGCCAAAACCCTTCCCCTTCCTTGGCCTCCACATGCCTGACCTCTCTGTGCCATTATGATGTTGATTCCGTGTTTCTCTTAGAAATCCTTTTACTCTCATGTCTACCTGTTCTTCTCCATTTTGAACTATAAATACATTTCACATTTGGGTGGTGAGTTAACAGTTAACTCTGCACCCAAACCTCCACAGCCACTTGTCCTCCTGACTCAGGTCTCCAATGATAAGAGAACTACTCAGTCCAGATGCTATGTTCATCTGTATCTTTATTTGCTCTCTCTGCTTCAACAACTCTCCCTAAAGTATCTTCTCCCTTGATCTGTATGATACCACTTTTCTCTGGTTCTCCTCCTTCCTCTATGAACAATCTTTTTCAGTTTCCTGTGTGAACTTTGTTCATCCACTCAACCCTTTAAATAGCAGCAATCCCCAGGAGCCATTCCAGGCCCTTGTCTCTTTACTCTCTCCTTGAGCAAGGTCAGTAATTACCTATGCACAGAAGAATCTCTGCACCACCCCCCCGGAGCTCTCTCCTAGCTCCAAGTCTAGAGATGCACTTCCAGAGGCATTTCTGCCCAGGCAGAGGTGCTGAAAGTGAGTCACTTCTCACTGGCAATTGAGAAATATAATGAGGCTCTGCTCAAACACTGGGGATCGGATCTCAGCTTCCAAGATTCTGACTTTGTAGGTCTAGAGTCAAGTCTGAGCATTTATAAAAATTAAATTCTGAGTGGTTTGGATGCAGTCTCCTTCAATAAGGAGTGCCAATGGCTCTCCATACCTGCATACGTTTTTGACCTTGTCTTAGATTTCCAACTTCAAAGTATGTCAGTGCTGCAAGCTGATGACACTTTCTAGCCACGACCTTCACGGGGCTTTTACATGAACCCAAGTTCTTCGTCGCTTCCATGCCATTCATCAGACTATTAAAGTTTCTCATTCTTATTTGCCTGGAAAACATCCCTACTTTTTCTTTTTAAGATGCATAAAGTATCACTGCTTCTAGAATAGTTTCCTTGTATCATTAACTCTTCAATCTACTGCAGTAAAAGACTTCCTTCTTTTCAAGTTGTAAATACACCTACTGTAACTCTGACATAGTGATAAATTTATGTTTACAAAGTACCTATGTTTATGAGTCGGTATCATCTGATTTGGAATAGCTAGTGGGCCTGTTGAGCTCAAGGACATAATCTGTAGTTCTGCAGGTCCAGGGCCTTACCTACTGAGTTACTCTTACCCTCTTAAATGATTTCTCCCATTTTATACAACTACCAATTCTAAAAGACTGCTTCCCCAAAGAACCCATTAGTTTCATGACCTTACTCTCTAAATCTTGACCAAATGAACTTAATTGTCAAGTGTATGAGTTAGTTATTCTGTGACTCCTCTCTACTGCTACAATGATTCTCAGAGCTACACTGGAAAATAGTCGGGGTCAGCACGGGCAGAGGAGAGTGGTCAGGTGTGCACCAGACAAATATCAATGGCTCCCTGATTGTATTTCAAATGTGTACTTGAAATCATATATAACAATTTCATCAAAATGAAATTTACAGGCTGCAATTATTCACACCTCTGTTTCCCTGTGTTAGGAGAGACAATGCATAAACTTAATCTCCTTTCACTTAACAATAAAAACAAAACCTTAACATAAGAGAAAGATGAAAGTAAAACCATGATTACCTAAGTGAAGACTTCAATGCTCAGCTGGAAAGGGAAAAAAGTGCTCAGGGCAAAGTATCATTTTAGAATGTTTCAAGATACAGTCAGTCCCTGAGGGGGCTCAGGCGACCCTGACTAGGGTCATTCCGGGGATAAATTTATCACCTTTTCTTTCAAATATTACACATTTATATAGCACAATTTGTCATCAGAAGTTAAAATACAACTTCAAATTAAACTATTTACAGGGCTCACGACATGTTAAAACTAATTTGCATAAACTATTTCTGAAGATAAACGGTATTTCAATTACCTTGTTTAAGTTGCTTTTCCACTTGCTTGAGTAGACCAGTAAATCTGATTTGGAATGGGTAGTTATTGCTTGAGAGTAGAGTGATTTTCCAGTCTTCTGTTTTGAATCAAGGAGAGAAAGAGCAACTTTCGTAGGCAAACCCAGCGGATTTGGATTCCTGGCGCTTACTGTCCAAACAGCATAAGCCGAAGTTTTCTGGTCCTGCTGAGGCAAATGCAATGCCTTCTGTCTCAGTAGGTAACACCATGTAAAGCTGGTTGCAGTCTTCAGGCTGGGGAAAGACACCTGCTGTGTGTCCCCAGCATCAAATACTGAAGTAGTGGTGACTGAAGGTTGACTTTGTTCTTGGATGTACCCTTTGTCACCTTGATTTTTAATCCCTGGAGACTTCCTTTCTTGGTTATTGTCTGTACATTCCAAAAGAGAGATATTTTCTGATGGGACAGGTGAATTTCTAACTGAAAGAGTTAGTGATGCAGGGGACCTGATTTCAAATTCTTGCAATTCTTTTACAGGTTCTGTAACTATAGACTTGGAGTGAACCGATGACAAATTATCAGCTTGCAAAACATCTGTCAAAGTAATAGCCTCACTTTCAATTTCAGGTTGAGAAAAAATATCCTGTTCCAATATCACACCTTCAAGAGGCTCTGTAGTACAGACCTGCCTGACTAAAACAGGTTTCTTCTGTTTATTAACTTCATTAGCTCTTGAACTCAGTGGTTCAAATGGTTTAATATCTGTTGTGCAAATAGCTCCATTTTCATCTTTAGCTCGCTTCTGGTGCTTTTCCATGGCAATGTCTAAACTATTTGCTGGGGAAAGCATCCTTTTACTTGAAGCTGAAGATTCTTGTTGGGGGGAAAGCCTACCAACAGACATTTTCTGAGTTATGGGCAAGGGTTCTGACAGAGAAGAATTCTGGCCCATCTCTGAAAACACATTTTCGCAAACAAGTTCTTCTGGGTTTGGCAAAGCATTCTGTTCTTCTTCTTGAGGTTTTGGCATGGACTTTTGTTCTCTGCTGACTGGCACCACACTGTGACTAGCCTGGCAAATTGGCTGACTGGACAGATCTTGGGTCACTAAGATTTGTGGCAGAGGTGTGACTGTGGCAAAACAGTACACTGGGATGTTACTCTGCAGAGGCACTGGTCGCGTAAATGGCATTGGCACCTTCTGCACCTGACCACAGAGGGGCCCGAGCTTGAGTGGTGGTAGAGGACAGGAATTAGACATGGTGTCTGCTAACTTGGGGGGCAATGCTAACGAAGTTGCATGGTGGTTGGCAGCCGCTGGATCTGGAAGAACCTGCTTTGGCAGAGAAGGTACAGGAGTAGAAGAGCAGGAGTGGCTTGAAGTGAAGACCTGACACTGAAGCTGGTACTTGGGAGCAAAGCACTCTTCACTTCTGGAAGACACATGCAAACCAGGACTTGCGTCTTGTTTGGCACTCTGTGTAGACACTTGCAGAGACATTTCTGTGTTTTGGTGGCTATGGGGCACCTGGATTTGATTTAACAAATTGATACCAAAAAGCTGTTGAACAGGTAAGATGTCAGTAGGGTTGGAGTTTGAAGTTTCTATTCGCAGATCCTTAACTTGAGTCTGGGAATGCCAAATACTTGCGGGAAATTCAACTACAGATGTACTCATATGCTGAGGCCCCTGAGAGGGCACTGCATGCACACCAGGAAGAGCAAGAGTTTGGAAAGATGATGTGTTTGCAGGAGACAGATGACTCTCTGGAGCTATGTTTAAAGATATCTGCCGAATCAGTGGCCCTCTCCTCCTTTCTAAGAGAGGCACGTGCCCAGTGATCCCCATGCCAGAAGGGGACGTTGGAAGTGGTAACTCAACAAATGGGGTTTTCCGAGGTGGAGTTATGCTTCCACAGTCGAACGATTTACTTCTGAAATCAGACACCTCCATCGATGTTTGCAGGCAGCTTATCTGTTCTGATGCAGCACGCCTCATTTCCCGGGGAGTTCCAGGAACAGTCAGTGTATTAGAGCCAGCTGGAATCATAAGAAACTCTGCTTTATTTAAACAATCGATTTTGGGGGAAGCCTCAGTTTTAGAAATGTCCTCTATGTCTAACGAAGCTGAAAAACTTGAAGCGTGAGATAGACTGCTCTCCCTGCTCAGACTCCTGGACAGACTGGAGTCAAAACTCGACTCAGTGGATGAATGCTCTATCTCAGCAAGACGGAGCCTTTTCTTTTTGGGTGGCAGTTTCTCTGTTGGCAATTTTGACAAGGTTTCACTACGCTGAGGCCAGCTGAACTTCTCTGACTTTTCCTGATCATGGCCTTGGGCTTCGAAGTCCCGCTCTGGCTCTTCTGTGACCAAAATTTCTGGGACTTGGATATTGTGCTGCCGAACAAGTCTCAAGGGCTGTCCTAACATGAATCGTTCACTTGAGGTCTTTCTTGAGCCTTCCGGATGTTCTCCTCTAAGCGTGTCTGATAGTGCAGGCTGGAGAGGGTGACATGTGCTTTGAGAAGGGTGACCTTCTTCTTGGGAGATTCCTATTACTTTCAGACACTCGGGCCTCACTGTCCCACTCAGCTCCTGGAAAGACACTGGGGAACCTCTTTCAAAAGACTCAAGTTTGTCAAATGAACTGGGTCTGCTCAGGGAGTTCGTATGCTGGATGACCGAGATCCCGGTTCCTTGTCTCTTCAACTCGGCCTTGTCCTGGGCAGCTGAACTTATCTGTTGTTCCATGATGGGAGACAGCTTTGGATTCACGGTCTGGTTGGGGCCTCTGGCAACCAGTTGAACTTGGGTGCTTTGCAACTGTGTATTTCTATGCTGCTGGTCGCTTGTCATGACAACATGCTTAGGCACACTGGCAGCAGAGGCCAGAGTGTTCTGAAACTGCAGGCCTTCGGAACTTTTGGGGGAAGCTCCACTTTCATTCTGCTGAAGTTCATCGTCGTCTCCAACACTCTTCATCTTCCTCCTTTTCCTTATCTGGGATGTCTGTTCCCAGACCCCCGTGGCACCAGCAACCCTGCAGTGCAGGATCTGAGGCTGTGTACTGCCCGGCACAGGGCTGTGCTCAGGCTCCCTCACAGTTACCTTTGTTTTCGGTCCGTGTAACTCTGAACAGTAAAATTTCTTATGGTTTTCAAAATTTTCCAGTTTTCTATACCTGTTTCTGCAGGTCTCACACTCAAACATTGTCCCTCGCCCCTGATGAGACTTCTTTTTTTCCAGATGTGGGCCTGATGCCAGTACCTTGCTCTTTGCTAACACGGTGTCACTTGCAGCACCGCATCCTTGATAGCCCTCGTCCAAGGACTGCTCAGGTCCCAGAACATGATTTTCATTCGTTGGAGCATCTTCTACTGCTGCTTGTCTAACAAGGGTACGGGTGTGTCCGCTTTGGGGCACAGATGTGTTAGGCCCGGATACAAACACATCATCACAGAAAGTGCCGATCTTGTCGTCAAATGACTGACTTCCTCTCAGTGGCTGAGGGGCAGGTATGATGCTTGCAGGTACTGCTGAATAGCCTGTGGTCGGCATAGAATTACTTCTTGTAATAGGCAAACAGTCAAGGGAAGGGACGGACAGAAGAAACACTTGCTTTGATTTCTCAGTAGGGGTGAAAGGGGACTTTGGTATATCAGAGCTTGAGCTTGTTCTCCGGCCCACTGGTTTTAAATCGAACTGGAAAGAATCCTTAAATATGTATGATTTGGGGGAGTCGATACTTCCTCGTCGTGAGAGAGAGGTTCTCCGGGGCTTCACACTATCTAGCTGCTTATCATCCACCAGGGCTTCATTGTCTGAGATAAGCTTTGATATCCGTTCTTCAAGTGTTTTTGTCGCCAAGGGTGGGCGCATCTGGCCTGGTGAAAATAGTGCTTTTTCACCTATTGTTAAAGCAGTAGGAGCTGGTGTACTGGTATGAGGTGCAGGGGGCCCATTATTCTTATTTGAGTCTTGTTCTATGGTGGGTAACATTCTGGGAAAGGGAGTCAGTGGACTCACTGTTTGATCGGCACTTTCAGAACGTGAAAAGTAACCAGAATCTGTACTTCCTAAACTTCGAGGGCTCAGAAGTTTCCCCTGCTGCTCTTGGGAGTAATCAGTAGCCTGCTGCCTTTGTAGCTGGGCATGTACCGTTCCGACATGAGACTCTTGTTTTCCTTCCATCTGACTCACGTCCCCTTTCTGATGGGACTTCTCATCTGTCTCTAGAGAGGACGTCCAGGCTGAACGGGACAGCACACTGGTTACCTGCAGGTCCTTCTGTTTCTGTGCACTAGAGAGTTCAGCCTTGGAATCCACGACCTTTGGACTGTCAGCTCCTAGAAGGGGCACACTGACAGGGTGGACCACAACTTTGGGTAGCTCTGTCACAGCTTGTGATTCTGAAGATTTGTCCTGTAGTGAAAACTCACCTACCACATGATCTGGGTTGCTTGGAATGGAATTTGATTTTGGCAAAGCTTCCGAATTTGATACCATCTTCCTTGTTTGCACAGGCTGCAGGCCTGAGGAGACCAGGTCGTTCTGCCTTTCATCAGCAGCACCCTCCTCATCGCTCTCCCCACTGTCTTCAACATCTGAATGGATACTAAGTGCTTTGGGCGACTCATGGGACATGAACAGACCACCAGCATCTGGCTGCAAGACAAGACCCAGTTTGATAGTATGTGCATGGGACTTTTTGTGCTTATACAGATTACTTTTAGTCTTAAACGAAAATCCACAGGTCACACAGGGATAGGGTCGCTCTCCAGTGTGGGAGCGGATATGCTTTAGAAGCACACTCGGCTTTGCACACGCTCTATTACAATACTCACAAATATATTTTCCTTGTTTTTTTGGCTTCTGATCTTTCAGAAGATTGCACATTTGCTCTACACTGTGATTTATGACAGAGGCGACAGGAATTGAATTATAAATTGGCGTGGGGGGTGACTGTGTAGAATGGGCTGGACTTACTGACATAGGTAAAGCAGAATCCACTTGCTGGTTCTGAGGATTAACCTGAGTTCTACTGGAAGGTGAACTAAGACCTATGGATGATGTCACTGCTATATTATAAACCTGTGCAAGTTTGGCATTCTCTGGATTTTGCAGAGTTGTTAGGGATCTTATGAAAGGTGAACAGGCTGGAAGCTGTTGATTTTGTTGGTTAGATTTAGAAACAAAGTGTTCGTGTTGTTTATATGAGTGAGAAATTGACTGGCCTGCTGCCTGTTCGCTCTTCTGAGCAGCAGACACATGCACTGTGTATGAGGTACAAGGAGAAGACTGTGACTCAGCCACAAATTCTTGTGAAGTCTGATTTGGGGCAGCTGTCGAGCTGTTTTTCGAGTGAGAAGGGGGTCGTCCTGCTTTATTTGGTCTCAGTCTTTCTATCTTAACTGCACATGACGAGCCCTTCTGTGATAAGGTGCTCAGTTCTGGCTCCATGGCTTTCAGTAAGACATCGAAACTCTGTCACAGCTTGTGATTCTGAAGATTTGTCCTGTAGTGAAAACTCACCTACCACATGATCTGGGTTGCTTGGAATGGAATTTGATTTTGGCAAAGCTTCCGAATTTGATACCATCTTCCTTGTTTGCACAGGCTGCAGGCCTGAGGAGACCAGGTCGTTCTGCCTTTCATCAGCAGCACCCTCCTCATCGCTCTCCCCACTGTCTTCAACATCTGAATGGATACTAAGTGCTTTGGGCGACTCATGGGACATGAACAGACCACCAGCATCTGGCTGCAAGACAAGACCCAGTTTGATAGTATGTGCATGGGACTTTTTGTGCTTATACAGATTACTTTTAGTCTTAAACGAAAATCCACAGGTCACACAGGGATAGGGTCGCTCTCCAGTGTGGGAGCGGATATGCTTTAGAAGCACACTCGGCTTTGCACACGCTCTATTACAATACTCACAAATATATTTTCCTTGTTTTTTTGGCTTCTGATCTTTCAGAAGATTGCACATTTGCTCTACACTGTGATTTATGACAGAGGCGACAGGAATTGAATTATAAATTGGCGTGGGGGGTGACTGTGTAGAATGGGCTGGACTTACTGACATAGGTAAAGCAGAATCCACTTGCTGGTTCTGAGGATTAACCTGAGTTCTACTGGAAGGTGAACTAAGACCTATGGATGATGTCACTGCTATATTATAAACCTGTGCAAGTTTGGCATTCTCTGGATTTTGCAGAGTTGTTAGGGATCTTATGAAAGGTGAACAGGCTGGAAGCTGTTGATTTTGTTGGTTAGATTTAGAAACAAAGTGTTCGTGTTGTTTATATGAGTGAGAAATTGACTGGCCTGCTGCCTGTTCGCTCTTCTGAGCAGCAGACACATGCACTGTGTATGAGGTACAAGGAGAAGACTGTGACTCAGCCACAAATTCTTGTGAAGTCTGATTTGGGGCAGCTGTCGAGCTGTTTTTCGAGTGAGAAGGGGGTCGTCCTGCTTTATTTGGTCTCAGTCTTTCTATCTTAACTGCACATGACGAGCCCTTCTGTGATAAGGTGCTCAGTTCTGGCTCCATGGCTTTCAGTAAGACATCGAACGCGGTGTTTGTGCACGAGGACAGGGGAGGACTGCAGTCAGGGGAGGTACATTCACTGCGGTCAGGCCTGGTTTTACTTGACAAAGAGCTAGAGTCACATTTCCCATCCAGGAAATTCAATGTGGCGGGTTCGGAGCCTTCTGACCTCCACCTGCGCAGTTCAGAGGAGGGGTGCTGCAGGAGCAAGGGCTTCTTTGGGGACACGGATGCTTCGGATTTAGAGGCCTCGACAATTATCCCAGGGGTTTCCCCATTGTGTCTGGTAAACTGCTTCCCATTTTTTACAGGACTGTGATTCTGCTTCTTGTGAGGCTCTGGAGCACTTTGAAGAGCAGCAAAAGATGACTCTTCTGTATTTTGTTTATGCTTTGCTTGAAGAGGGTTTCTCAGTGGGGATTTTGGTATTTTTTTCAGATGATTCTCAGCAACAATCTTTTTTCGTTTCACACCTTTAAGTGATTCTGAAGTTCCTTTAATACCAGCCTCTAAGATTTCTGTTAAAAAAAAAATCAGTTAGTAAAATGTTACATGCGCCAACTACAATTAAAATAAATAAATAATTACTATTATGGGGGCATTACAACAATTGACAGAGATAGCTTAAGGAAAGCCTATATTAGATAAAATTGCGTTCTAACCTTCTGGCAATATTAATGTCCTTCATCGAAACCTATTGAAACAATTACTCAAAGACTTCAGTACACAGTTCTAGAACGTTGTGTTCCTCTCCTAACCCCCTATCTCACTCCTAGAACCATATCTTTCCTTTTCACACTCACAGTTGAGGGCTCATGTCTACACAAAAGACTAAGAGTACTGGCCTACAAAGAAGAGAATTCAACCTCTTAATGCTGGGTATCTGACTGTCTTACCACATTTAGAATCTTTTAAAGCAAAATTCTCAGCAAGTTTCTAAATAACAGTATTGCTCTAAAATATGTAATACTGATATTCTTAAGAGGAAAAAAGGCTACTAAATAATATCCTTTATAGCAAACCTATTTCAGACAAGATAGCAGTTGGAAAACCACGAAGAATTGCTAATATAGTTTTATCAACGCACAGAAATATATAAGTAAAATAATCTACTCTTGTGTAGTTCTTCACCAACAAAATTTAAAAGTCATAATGTTGTAATAGCCCTTGGTTAAAAAAATCACCATTTGTAACAAACAAAATACTCAGTAGCTGTTTCTGTGCCATTAGTCATAGATAGGTAGGTAGGTAGATAGAGCTATGGCAGGACAGAAGATATGAAACCACCTCCATTTGTGGATGC